AGACCACCATCCTGTACGCCACAGAGACCGGCAAGTCGGAATCCTTCGCGACGTCTACACTCGGGATCTTCAAACACGCTTTTGACGCAAAGGTAGGTAAAGTTTCAGTGTTAGAAGTTATTGACAGATGGTTTTAGCACGTATGACTTGTTTGTCAGGTACTCAGCAGTGCACAGAGTTTATCTGCACTGAAATGACTGAAAACATCCCGCCGTTCTTCCTACAGATGATGTGTATGGACGAGTACGACATAACCAACCTGGAGAAGGAGGATCTGGTCATCGTCGTCACCAGTACGTTTGGGAACGGAGATCCACCGGACAACGGAGAGGTCAGGACAACTGAAACATGTTATCTTCAAGAACTTGCTGAATTCATGCTACACCATTAAAATTAAACTTAGTTTTTTTCCTGATAACTTTGGGCAATCTATCCAAACCATGTCCCTGCCCCAGAAATAGATAATATCTTACCTTTAGTAGTCAGGGTTTGTCTCAACATTTCTCAATTGGGCTACTTCTTTTTAGCTTCTTCCATTCCTAATGAGTTATGATGTCTGTTACGTTATTGACAGGCTTTTAGCCAAGCTTTGCTCCACATGAGGCACCCTCCCGGCAAAAGGAAGCCGTAAGTTATAAAATATATAATCTTCAGTAACAATTAACATGTGAAAATTGTTTACTTGTATTACGAAAGATAATGCTTGGTCGAGAACATATACATACTTATACCGAGCTGCATGAATACACGGTCCTTACTTACTCCAGCGGCAGTGTACGGAGGGTAAGCAGTATCTCCAAGGCCTCCTACCGGCGTCAGCAGAAACTGCTGCGGCAGCTGCGGGACGGCGGGGCGCTCGGCAAAGTCCGGTAGGCATGTGATTGTAACCTGCAGCTGTTGGCCCTGAAAATTTCCAGTACCTTACCTATTGTCTTGAGCATCTACAGTGATACGTGGTGATTGTGTAATTTGATTTTGAATGTATTGACGTTTCACTTTGATGGTTTTAGTTGGAGTTATCCTTTGCCCGGAGAACAGTTGATCGGATTTTGGGAGGACGTGAAGACGAGGTAAATGTCACCAAATCTATAATCATTTCTAGATCTGCTCCCTTTTTTTCGTAGATACACAGTATTTGCACTGGGATCCAGTGCGTACCCCGAAAACTACTGCGCCTTCGGCCACGCCATCGACACGCTGTTTGAGGAGCTGGGAGCAGAACGGATCCATCCTGTGGGGGAAGGAGACGAACTGTGTGGACAGGAGGAGTCCTTCCGGGCCTGGGTCAAGGGCGCCTTTAAGGTACATATTTTATAAGATATTGGACGTTAGATAGTTTGCGGGAGTGGTCCAGAGTAGTAGGTGACTGTAGGTCTACTCAACACCGTTGTACAAAAGCACACGGGATCACGCATTTGGTATACAGTAACGTTATGTACAAGTATGGCAGGTTTGGTAGAACATGTCTGACTAGTTACTAAGTAATGAAACAGCCCCTCTCTGAAACAGTCTGCATGTGAGAGGTACGACGTCGGCCATGACGTCAACATGGAGGAGGCGAACGCGTCCCTTCTCGGCAGTGACTTCAGCTGGGCGCCTGGGAAGTTCCGTATCGTACAGACCAAGGGACTGCCGGAGACAGACATCCTGGAGGGTGAGATGGATTTGTTTCATCACTTCCGTTTGCGTTTTTCACATTGTCCTTACTTAGTCAGTCATATCTAGTTGAAGTCTTTATGAATTATTATATTATACATAGGTAAAACTGCACGGGCTGTATTCTAACTTGCCATGTCCCTGGATCATTACCAGGTCTGTCCAAACTGCATCGCAGGACAGTTGTGTCCAGTACAGTCATTTCCAGAACTCAGCTACAAGCTCCGGAGTCCAGGTAGGGAACAGAAAGATGAAGTCTGATAAAGGTTACCATTCAACAAATGCCATAACTTTTCAAGGGGTATATTTTGCGCTGCGAAAATTCTACAGAAATATGTGTAAATGTGCCCCCCTCCCAGCCGACAGACCTGCCTGGTGCAGCTGGAGACACACGGAGCTCACGAGCTGAAGTATGTTCCCGGGGATCACGTGGCCATCTTTCCAGCCAATGAGGACAGACTTGTGCAGGCGATTCTGGACAGACTGGAGAAGGGAACAAACCCCGACGCCGTCATTCAGATAGAAGCACTACAGGAGAAAAAGTCCCCAGCAGGTAAGTAATGTGTACATCAGTCATGTTTCATATTTTGGCCGTCATTTACGTCGGAAAGAAATGCTGACACGATTTCTTTGTTCGGAAGGTTTGGTCAAGACATGGACGCCCCAGGACCGGCTGCCGCCATGTTCTTTGCGCACGGCACTATCACGTTACCTTGACGTCACCACCCCGCCATCACCCCAGTTGCTCCTGTACCTGGCGATGCACGCGACGTCAAACAGGGAGAGAGCGGAACTCCAGGCTTTGGGCAAGGTTCACGATCGATAGTTCTTTGCTTGCCTGATGGTATTTCGTATATATCATTTTTCAAGTTTGCAGGGTCTCAAATTTTCCATGATAATTCAGGAGTACAAGGGACAAACTTTCTGACAGAAATAGTAAAAATGATAAGTCATCATCAGTGTCTGATTTTGCCGCTCCAGGGAGGTCTCAGGTACGAGGACTGGAAGTTTGAGGTGGCCCCGACTCTGCCCGAGCTGCTGCATGACTACCCGTCCCTACAGGTTCCACCCGCCCTGCTGCTCAGTCAGCTGCCGGTCCTGCAGCAGCGCTACTACTCCATTAGCTCCTCCCCACACATGTACCCGGGCCAGATCCACGCTACTGTAGCCGTGGTCAAGTACAGGACGCGTGGTGAGTCTAGATATGATACACTAACCATCAGCTTCTCCCCACACATGTACCCGGGCCAGATCCACGCTACTGTAGCCGTGGTCAAGTACAGGACGCGTGGTGAGTCTAGATATGATACACTAACCATCAGCTCCTCCCCACACATGTACCCGGGCCAGATCCACGCTACTGTAGCCGTGGTCAAGTACAGGACGCGTGGTGAGTCTAGATATGATACACTAACCCTACTCCATCAGCTCCTCTCCACACATGTACCCGGGTCAGATCCACGCTACTGTAGCCGTGGTCAAGTACAGGACGCGTGGTGAGTCTAGATATGATACACTTACCATCAGCTCCTCCCCACACATGTACCCGGGCCAGATCCACGCTACTGTAGCCGTGGTCAAGTACAGGACGCGTGGTGAGTCTAGATATGATACACTAACCATCAGCTCCTCCCCACACATGTACCCGGGCCAGATCCACGCTACTGTAGCCGTGGTCAAGTACAGGACGCGTGGTGAGTCTAGATATGATACACTAACCATCAGCTCCTCCCCACACATGTACCCGGGCCAGATCCACACTACTGCAAAGGTCTTCAGCCTCATTCACTAATGTTGTATAGCAAAGGCTTCATGACAATTGCTCTGTCACATAGTCTAATATCTAAATATGACTTACCAAATATGTTTTTCAGGTGGTAAGGGTCCGGAGCACAACGGTGTGTGTTCTAACTGGCTCAACACCGTCAAAACCAAAGAGTCCGTGCCTTGCTTCATTAGAACGTAAGATATCTCTATCATTCATGTACGAGCCTGAAGCGTTTTTATTTAATAAAGTTTGAGAGAGAAAAATCTATGGAATATTTTATCATTAATTGCACAACAACAGATATTTATCATTCATCATATACGATTCTTTCCACACTTTTTCAGGGCCAAGAATTTCCACCTTCCTGCGGACCCCTCCCTCCCTGTCCTGATGGTAGGTCCCGGGACAGGCATCGCCCCTCTCAGGAGCTTCTGGCAGCAGAGACAGGTGGACATCAAGGCTGGTAAGGGGGTGGAGACGACATTTGTGCCATGTGTCCTGTGATTATCTGAATATCAAACGGTTTGGTTTACTTCTCAGCAACATATTAAAGAACACCACAATAGGGAAACATCATACTCATGTAAAACCCTTAAGTAATCCGTGGTTAACAGCTGTTACACCTATGTTTACAGGTACCACGTCCAGACGTCCTCCAGGTGACATGACCCTGGTGTTCGGCTGTAGACAGTCCATGGTGGACCACATCTACAAGGAGGAGACGGCCCAGGCTAGGAGAGACGGAGCCCTGACAGACATCTACACGGCTCTGTCCAGGGAACCTGGGACAACTAGGGTAATACTATGTTAACTCGCAAATCAAGACTTGGCCCTCATCAACTTGTTGTGTTGTCAGCCTAGGTAGAAATTGGCACCACATTTGTCGCTGCAACTACTTCATACTCAAAGCCTGAACTACCAAAAAAGCGGTCCACATCAGCATATCTATCGAAAAGACGGATAGGAATTTTCCAATTGTACTTTGAGTAAATTTGTGTTCACTAATTCACTATCACTGTTCACTATTTTTCTACAAGACGTACGTCCAAGACATCCTTCGCGAGCGGATCCCCAGGAAGGTGCTGGACCTGGTCCTGAGGGAGGGCGGACATGTCTACGTGTGTGGTGACGTCACCATGGCCACTGACGTCTGCGAGACAGTTCAGCGAATCCTGGTGAAGCATGGCGGGATGTCTGCCGCCAGGGCAGAGGACTTCATCAATAACATGAAGGTACAGATGTATAGAACAATACGTTCCATGGTAACCCGTTATATATAGCTCACACCTGGTTGTACAATTCAACAAACCTAAATCAGTGATGAAAAATTAGGTATTAACCTATTTTATATTTTCTATATCTGAAAAACCCCTGGTTTTGAAACTGTTTTTAAAGTCTTTTTTTAGAATATTAAGATCTTACACACCTTGCATAAAAATATAATTCAGCTAGAGACAACATATAAGATAACACACACAAACAACGTACACATGTACATCAGAGTCTTTGCCACTTTATTGTATGCCCACAGGATAACAACCGCTACCACGAGGACATCTTTGGCGTGTCCCTGAAGACACGTGAGGCCCAGGGTGCAGCGCGCAAGAGGATGTTACGTACTTCCGGTGTACAGGTAAGAGCCGCCATTTTGACAACACTAATCATGGTTCAGTCATTTGGTCCACTCATGCTTAAAAATGTGACAAGAGAATGATATATGGGAAAATCTCTTTAAAACAAGCAAGAGCCTTAGCCTATAAAATGTACTCAATCATAACTAGGAATATTGACACAAAAACTACAAAGTAACACTTTGTTTCCAAATTATTGTTATTCCACTTTTCTGGTAAGTTTTTGTCAGTCATGGTTGTGGTAAGGTTACATAAGTGAGATCTCCAAAGTTATCAGTACAAGTGTGGTCGTCATATGATGCACTGGAAACCTTTTTGTGGCAGCAATTCACGTTGCTGGTAATTCCATGTTTTCTTCCTTTATTTTCAGTCACCGATAAATGAGGTGGATCAAGATACTCACTTGTAATTGCTTCACTTCAATTGCTTGAACTCTGCGAAGGACATTTGGATTCAACTTGAAGTATATGAAATTACAGCAATAGACTATTTTTGTATTTTCAACTTTGTTTTTGTCTGCTGTACAGGACTGGCAAAGCTTAAGTTGCGTATAGGTAGCTTTTCAAAAGTACACAGAGCATCAGCCTTGAGCCAAAAGCGTATGTATTAACGGCGTTTGGTCGTTTTGCCATTTGCAAGTTGCAGTTCATCTAACAGTCGTCAGGCGTATCTGTAACCATCTATGTCCATCATTTTCTTGGCCCTGATCGAGTCATAGATGAACTCTTCAAACAGTATCGGAATCTGGAAAAAAGATTATATTTGTATTCTTGCTGTTACTTTGTCCATCTACCGTTATTTTGTCACATATACAAAGTTTACATTTACATGTACAAGATATTACCATATTTCTACCAAACACATGCACTTTATATAGATGCTTATTTTTTAGGTGAGGTGATTTTTCATTTAATATCAGTCATGGACTAATAAGTTGGGTCAACTTGTATGATATTGTCAATATGATAATTTTTTGTAACAATTTAAAAAGCTTTATTTTTTGTGTTCTGGCTGGAAACACAACGATTGTGATAACTACCAGCTCTGGAACAATTATAACCAATTAGAAATCTGTATCATCATTTTTACCTTGTTTGCCTTTGCGTCCCTGACCTTGGCTGTGTTCTTCTCATATTCCTTTTTGGTGCAGAGCAGAACGGATTCAAACATGAACGGAACTGTGGGGATTCAAAATGGTCGTTGTTCAGCATTGTCATCAATTGAAATGAACTCACCAAAAGAGTTACATTTGGAACCGCATATCTCACTATGTTGTAACAATATCTAGGTATGCCACAATTACTTTACGTTTGAGACTGCATTGTTATCAGTGTCACATAGCTTTAGTGCACAATGAACCGGTCATAATTGTCCTCATGAAAAAGACAGACGGCCATCAAAACGTCGGCTTCTGTTGAACAACTGGTTCTTGTAATCATACAGAACTTTGGTATTCAAAAGGGTGAAGATGGCAATATGATGATATGGCATTGCCACTGAAATAATAAAAAAAATTATGCTAACGTAAAACCAAAAATGATGCGCATGCGTACTTACCTGGCGTGCCGCCATGTTTGATGATTAACTCCTTGATAGTTTCCTGAGATCCCATTTTGTTGCCATCCGCAATCAGCTTATCAGAAAGGGTAAACTTTCTGTTCTTGAAAATTCTATAAACAAAACAGAATTAAGGAATTAACACAGTGATAAGAAAATTTAAACTTCTCGTTGTCATTGGCTTTCTTAATAATGTTTTTTTCTGCACTTGCGTTACAATATGAATTTTTATTAGGGATAATTATATTGATTAATTTATCAAATCGCACCTTGTTGTAAGGACGGCCTTTGTGTTCCTTTTTGCCTCCACGCACATCTTCTTCACGGTTTTGGGAGACTTTGGGCCCTTCCGTAGATTCACAATCTGTACAGAAAAAAAATGAAAATCGATTACTCATGTACAGTTAGCATGGTCTTTGATAGATTAAGTCGTTATGTGTTGTATGATATCAAAGTTCGTGTCATTTCTTGGTGGTTATCATTATACAAGATATCCTTTTAACCTGTTCCCTTATCTTCTCATTATCTATTACTCCCCAGCTCCATTATGGGATAATAGATATATTTCCTTACAGCTCTGTACTTCTGTATGCTTCTCTCGACTCTTGGTGGAAGGTACGGTCTGTTGTGCCCGCCAAACACTCCGCCTGCAGTTGGCGACTCGTTCGCTAGGGATGACTCCATGGCCTTCATCCTGGCCCAGTGACTCTCCTGTGGGTCTTCGAGTAGCGTGACGCAATAGCCGAGGCTGTCAATCATCGTCGCCGCGAAGTTGCCGACGACCGTTCGGGAATCTTCGTCTGTTATCGTTCGAACTTCGCTCTTGATGCGCTTGATCTCGTCGATCCCGCCGTTTACCAAACGCAGCGAGTACGAGTAGTCACGATAGTCTACGAACTCTGCTGCCCTGTTGATGGTGCCCACGGTTACCATCCTGCAATCTTCTTGCGCGATTTTTACAACTGCCTGTTGAGCTCTCTGAACGACGTTCACGTCAGACTGGTGGTTAGAATCTGAGTAGGCTACAACGTACATTTCTGCCTCCGTCGGTACGCGTAGACGTCTTGTTCTTCTGTCCATCCTTATGTGTGCGGGTGTACGTGCGCCGCTGTTGTGCCTTCTGCCATTGTTTTCTTTTGCGGATAGAGCACCGTTCCTTCCTGTGTTTTCATGATTGTCGTTTTTCAAGATTTCTGCCATCGATGTTGACTTGAATGGAATCTTAGTCAAAATCTCTCTCTCGACATTTTCTAAGTCAAGGTACTCAATATGCACTTCCATGACGTCTTTGTTCTTCAATGACTTCTTGTAGTCCTTTGGAAGAAGCAAAGAGCAAGGGATGTGCTTCAACATGTCCGCAGATATGTCGTGTAGAAAATACTTAACGGTTTTGTCGTTACTCTCTACACACGACACCATGAAAGGACTGAACATTTTCAGCGTGTCAAAGGTCACTCCGTTGAGCGTGCGCAGTGCGATGCGGATGTTGGAAACGAGGCAGGTCTCGCGGAGGAAGATGGGAATCATCATGTCCACCTCAAAATCCGTGTCGTCACTAAGCCAGAAAAACGCGTCACTGCCCATCGTCTGGGCCACCTCGCAAAGCAGCTTGGGACGGTAGTCGCCGATGGTGAATGAGGTGATTGGGAGGCAGACGCCCTCCCCAAGACCGGCCATTTTACTGTTGTACTCCCGTACTAGTTCCTCGGCGTCAGTGATCCCTTGGTTAGCCTGCCCGTCTGTGAACAGGATGATGCCGTTGTGGAAATGAGACCTGTCAAGACAGACAGACAGACAGTCGCTCAAAAATTTCATAGAATATCAAGAGTGAAAAGAAAAAAAAATGTAATCCACAATCAGTTTGATATTAGAACGGTAGTAATATAGTAATAGTATTATAGTACAATATAATTAGAGTTCCCCGATCTCATACCTTCGCCAAATGTTAATCTTTATGACTGACAAATCATACATTAGATTATTCCCCCTGATTTAACAAATAGGAACCTAATTTTCATGAATTATATCATTTTGTCATAATCTCAACCAAAAGACAGTCTTATATTAACAAACAATGCATTCTAGCATTTCCTTATAAATTATGCAAATGAGGTCCTGATTTGAGTAAAGTATGTTTAATGATGTTCACCCTCAACTTAACTTTCAAATACCTCAAGTATGAAATTCCAGGCAGTTATCATTACATAATTATAAAATTTCTCATTAATTATGCAAATTAATTTATCATTAACATAATCAATATCTGCCTGTGTTTCTCTCGTTGTCAATTACCAATGTCACAAGCTTCAATTGTCTTATCATGGAATGCAGCTGATTTATAGAATTTCTCCATAAATTATGCAAATTACATCCATATTTGCATAATTGTCACATAATTATATTAAGCATCACGTAAGCTACCTACATACCAAAAATCACGACGATCCGTCAACCGGTTCTTGAGTTATCCCCTTTTCAATATTTTCAAGAATATATCCCTGCAGTTTCAGAGCAAGCCGCTAGGGGGACCAAACTCACGTCACTTCTTCCCCAGCACAAGAGCTACCTACCATCCAAATTTCATCACCATAGCATGTCTAGATCATGAGATATCAAAACCGGAAGTTCAGCTGCAGTACCATAACAAGCCGCTAGGGGGTCCAATATCTAATCATTTTGAGGTCTCATCAAGACCTACCCACCTATCAAGTATCAAGACAATCCATCAAGGCCTTCTCAAGTTATCGTGTTTACAGACACACACACACACACATACACGAACGCCTCTGAAAAAATAACCTTCTTGGCGAAGGTAAATATAGAGACAATATTATAGCAGCTATTCGACAATAGTTATACTTATTTACAGATTTATTGCAGGATATCTGTGTATAGTGTATGTTTCACCAATGCTAATCTCTTATCTTTACCCAGATGTAGCTACCTTTTAGTTACATATATAAGAGAAGTATTAGCAATCTTACCCACTGCTTCCTTTGAACATACTGATGGCTGTCAGGATTCCATCACTCAGGTTTGTCTGCCCACGTGTCTCGATGTTTTTGATCTTTTCCAGTGCAGATTCCTAGATAAAAAAATGCCTGTTTAGGATGTTTATTCATTTCACAGTTTTTAAAAATGTTTTCTATGGAATTTATAGCTGTATCACTTCAAGTTTCCAAATATTTTCTTACCTAACTCACATGTGATTGTGAAAAATTATATTACACCGTAGTTAGATTAATAAAGTAGTACACAGAAAAAAATTCGGTTCCTCAAAAATGTTTCAAAGATCAACACACAGAGTTATATATTCTCCTTTTCACGGTTCCCAAGTGATTAATTATTTATATTACATGTGCGTACCATGCGATTATGTATTGCTCTCAACTTGCTTCACAATCAACAAAGAAAATTAGATAAATGTCGTCTTGTCGTGCGATGTCGTATGGCGTCATGAAGGTTTTGTCCTTGGTTTAGGCCGTGTTGATTTGATTATATGGATGACATCCTCTGGGAACCCCAAAACTGACACGAGCGTGCGAATAAAAAATGGCTTTCATTGTGAAATCTACATGGTCATGAAGGTTTAACAAATGACACAGAATATGGTATGGCGAATAATTTATTCTTCAATTTCATTTCTTTATACATTGTTGTCTTTTTCGTTTGATTTTGGCATTCTACGACATTGGTATCGTTTTCAAATCTTTTTTTTTGCAACTTGCGGTATATATTTTCTCATTTTGAAACTGTTTTGTACGATTCACAGTATGGTTGAAACGGCCGAAAATTCTTGCGCGCGCAGATGTCATCCATATAATCAAATCAACATGGCCTTAGTAACATGATATCTCACCCGTCCGCGGGAGTCCATCTTTGTCATGGGCAGGACGACCTTGGCGTCATCAGCGAAGGTCACAATCCCCATGTTGTCCTCGTCCTTGAAGTCCTTCACCATCAGCTCAGCAAAGATCTGCATCCGCTGGATCAAAGTCAGTTTGTCCAGCCCAATCCTGCCATAGAATCGAAAGAAACTCAAGTTCGTTTTGACGTGTACAGTGTAACCATTTGTGATGTCATTGTCACTGGGTGTATTGTCTCTTCTCTTCTCTCTGTTACACTATTGTATTGGTATGAAAGAATGGAGTTCTAAAGCCTTTCAATATTCACTAGAAAAAATATCCATGTATCCATGTCATATGAGACTTTCATCCAGCAACACCATCCTCCTACATAACTGGACGGGTTCGCATTGTCCTATGATGCTGGTGCATTCTGATACATACTACTAGATAACTACTACAACAATTTTCTATCTCACTCAAAATCATTTTCGTATTCAGTCCCCATTGTCATTCAAACAGCGCATAACGCAAGGATCGTCGTGCTTTTAGGGTGGGGTGGGAGGGAAAGCTTTGTATCACCTTTCGTCCATGCTGTAGCTTTCATCGATCACCGCAACGAAACGTAAAGGTGTCCTCTGATGACCTGACGCCTCCAGACGTTTTTCGTCTGCGCTCAGCTCCAGCAGAACCTTCATTTGTGGAGGAGACTGATAAAAAGAACAAGTATCATGTATACAGCCGCTGATGGTCTGCACTTACAAGCAGTGTAAACATCAAAATGGGTATAGCGTGATGTCTATGTCATTTAACCTAATCCAAACAGATTACTTTGCCAAACCTTTTTAGTCGCCTGAAAGCAGTAGTAAGTCAGCTGAAGAGGTTCCTTCTCGTTTGTCGTGTCCGCCATCTTGGAAATTTCGTTCCACCAACTGTGATGCAAAATACAAGCTGTGTGAAGATTTTTTTAAGTAAGTAAAGGCAAAACAATTTATCATTTGTACACTTAAAAGTGTGTTGAAAGTACTTTTATCCGTCCGTCCAAGGTTAAAAATGAAATACATAAGAATTGAAATAAATTCATAGCTGTGTACGAATGTGCTACCACCACGGATACCGAGGAAACATCACGTGATACTAGTAATCTCTAAGTGGCATAGCAACACGTTTTAACACGGTAAGGCCACACCGCCTTAATTTCATGGATGACATCCTCTGAAGAACCCCAAGCTCGGGCGCACGGGCGAATAAAAAAAGTTCCGGCCAAAAATATATAGAAATGCTACTAAACCACGGGAATACGTACAAAGCTGGTATTGTCATTTTACGGCAATACATAGCGACGTATACGACAAGCCGGCATATGCTGGCTTTTGGGGAAATTTATGAATCGGCACTGTACATTTGAATTGAGTTCTTGAGTCGTGGTGCTTCGACAGAGTTACCTCCAGAGTTCGTACCATAAAATTAGGCCGGTGCGGCCAAAGATCCAAACTACTTGTTCCCGTGTCAAATTTGCCGCGGGCACACATCGCGGTTCCGAATAACATCGGCGAGTACTGGTGTTTGTTGTTCTACTATTTACTCAAGCATAACGGGAGTACAACACAGTCATACAAAACACTACACTCGCCTGTGTGTCCTCCTAGTAACCACGTTTTGTTGTAATTTTCCACATTACCACTAGGAGGGGGGAACAGAGCACGTGCATCTATTTTGTGGCGTCCAGCTCTCTACTTAAATGTCACATTTGAAACACACTCATACACCTGTACGAAGTACATGTGCGTACAGGTGTATCTCGGTAAAACTCTCTATATTCACACGTGTTATTTTTACAGTCTATCACCATGTTACTTCAGTGACCACGAAGTAGTTAAATCTTTTTAGATTGCCACATAAACCCAAGGCTACTATTCCTTTTGAGAACACAACACAATGTATGCTTACCTCTTTTTTTACGTCGATATATATATAAGTGTTGACCGAGTGTCGAAGACAGCTACCTGGGTAACCCTGTCAGGGTGCGATCCCGTCTGCTACCGTTCCAGTGAATTCTAATGACCCCACAAACGGTCTCTATCCACGGCGAGTCATGCTTGAAAGGAGCTTAAATATACCGGGATCGGGTTTAGTAAAAGGACACTTGCTACAGAAACATGGTCCACCGCGTCGCTAGGTTACGGCGTCGTCTTTGATTGACGGCGACACAACACAAAAGGGGGCCTAGGGCCACAAAGACATTCCATGCTTGAGATAAAGGCCCGACACTGGCGGACGAGCACGCTATAAATTAAAGACACATGTTACACATGTTTTGTCTTGTATCTCTGCCGTGAGCTTCTTCGTGTGACAACGTGACAATGCTTTAAAGAGAGTACACTATTTACTATTGTTAGCAATTTGAAGTTTTTAACAACAGATACGAACTGGGATGGGGAATTCTCTAAGTCAGACTTCATGTATGTGCATTGCATATTGTGCGAAGGCTTGCTGTAACAAGAAGAAATCAGTATATTTGATGCCTGAGGTTATTTGCCATTTTGATACCCGATTTATTTTCTTCTCAAGGGAAAATGTAGTCTTTACAGATTCCACTTCTGACTTATGTTGGAAATTTCCAAGGTTCCACAAGTTACTGTACAAAATCAAAAGACAGATACAAGTCAGGAACTTTTAAATTTGAATACAGAGTTATCAAAGTGTCTTGTAAAAGTTGACCTAATTGTAACCCTCTATCATAGCGTCCTCTCCAAATACTCCACACAAACAATAACAAACTGACAAATACTGAAATGATCTCTGAATGAAATTTTATCATTCATTATCAATATAAAATTAAATAGTTATATCCATGAATTTTTCAGCTATAATAATTATTTTGACAACATTAATGGGCTCTTTGTGTCTCCTGCACTGCGAGCATTGGTCTAGTCAAATGAAAATTCGCTAACGATTCACCAGAAGATACCAGTACGAAATGACTACATACCCCCTGGACCTGGTCTGTGACTATAACTTAAAACGTATATTACTAGTAGTAGAACTTGTTAAAGTTAAAATGAATGGCGTCTAGATCAATCTGTAGTCTCGAAAGTCCAACATCTTTTCTTGTTTGACTGATTCGTGGATGTACTCTTCAGACACGATGGGAATCTAAGGGAAGCAAATAAGCCGTCAATTACTTGTAATAAAGTTAGATGACGCCGTAAATCAAAGACATGGATATATAGATCCTTTTAAACGTATACTTAAAAGTATAATGCATTAAATAATCATAATTTTGTAGCTAAGAGTAGACGGAGATCAAAGTGTATGAGACGAACAGGGAGATTATCCTTATTTCACAATGTCGTCGAAAGCAATATTTGCCCATGATAAGAAGATGGACCTTATATTGCACGACAACTGTTATACAAGGTACAACGTATTGCAACGACTACTGAACTTAGTACAAAAAGAAAAGTGTATAGAACATATATGATGATCGAATGAGACACTGGAATCGATGGAGAGAAAAATAATGAAATCCATGCAAGCTCAGTTTACACTTATGATGTGTAATACCTGATTTTCCAAGGCGTCTCTGACTTTGACAGATTTATCATTGAATTCTGCCCTTGAGCACACCAGGATGTTGTATGCAGCTTTGTTTTTCACGAAAGGCACTAAAAGAGATATACGATAGATGTAGAATTACGAATTACCAAGAAACAAAATGTGGGTAACTTTTTAGTTGATACGAGTATACTTTTGGGTGTTGATTTACGTACTAACACATTGATAACAATATACAAGGATATATAAGTCATAGTACGAAATAAAAGTGCCAACTGTTTTAATTAAAAACATAATATGTCATAATCATAACCTTTAGCATGGTATATGCACTTTCAGGGCTGCTAAATTGGCACTTAAACAGCACGATTCCTAGGATTTACCACACAGAAGCAACGACCGCTTTCTTTGCTTGTTTGCCCCGAAACAACCTCCACCAGGCCTTTCTACGGGAATACGGATCGTAGAATTCGGCAAGAAAAGAGAGTAAAGTTGGCCAGGGGAGGTTGTTTCTTTCCCCTATGGCAGTAGCCTGAGTGTCAGCCTTGTTAGCTTCCGTCCGCTCCCCAAGATCCGCTCCCCGCCAACGACGAAAGCTAACAAGGCTGACACTCAGGCTACTATGGCGGCCAAACTCCCTGGTAAATATTCTCCTATATAGAGCCAGCGTAGTTAGTCTGGTAGAGACAACCCGAAATGTCATACCTGGATTTCCGCCGTGCTCAATGATGAGTTCCTTGATCTTCTCCTGGGACGACTTGCTCAATTTCTCGGACACGGCGACGTGTCTGTCCTTAAACGTCCTAGGCAAATCATTAAAACATTAATGATCTATTATCATTCAAAGATAATAAAAGGCTTTTTCCTTGAAGTTTATACTAGGACTGTTAACAACCGTCCAATTATGTTTAAGAGATAGATGTCAAATTGCAAGATAATAAAGTTAACATCTCACACTAACTTTGAACGTTTTGCACATAGCATAAATGTGTCATTGAGTGCATCATCTACTACATGTTTTACTCACTTCGGCTTTGGAGGAGGTTTCTGCTTCTGCTGTTGCTTCTGTTGATCAACGATCTGACAAATGACAATGAAAGTGTCTGCAGTAAGTCTGTCATAACAGTCAATAGTTTTCTGAATTCAATAATTTATGTACGACTGAGTGTTATGGAATAGCTCAATTTTTTTAAGAGGAAGCTATCGGAATGCCTAGTATCAGTATCGCACAAAACATAAGTTGCAAAGGTTTTGAATAACAAATAAGACTATGAAATTTTAAGCATCCCTCAATCTTGTAACGGTAAACTTTAGAAAACAATATATATTAAATACCTTTCGGTAATTCTCCAATTCTGCTTCCATCGCTGGCGGGGCAAACGGCCTTGCCTCTCCAGGGAAGATTTTTCCAGTCGTCGGGCATTCGTTGGCTAATGACGACGCCATGGTCTTCATGGTATTCCAGCCGTCCGGCCTCCCGGCATCGATGATCGTCAGGCAGTGGTCCAGAGCCTCGATCATGGCGTCCGCCCGCTCACACGTCACCACCGCTGGCTGCCCCGACAAAACTGTGTTCACCTCTGTTTTCCTCTGCTCAATGTCGTTTGTGGTCTCCTGGATCGCATCCTGCGCCATGATGACTTCGTCTTTGCCAAAATAGTCAGCAGCGTTTTTGATTGTCAGCACTGCCATCGTCCGCCACTCTTCCTGGGCGATCTTTGCGATAGCAGTCTCTGCTCTCGTTATCTCTGTAATCGCCATGGGGACGTTTGAGTCCATGTACGCTATCACCTTATTGTCTGATGGTGTCGTTTGTTGTTTGGATTTCTTTCTCAGTTCTGCAAGTGTGACGTTGGTGAACGTGATGATGAGGCGCAGTTCCCGAGGTGCGTTGTTGTAGTCCCTGTATGTGACGTGCACCTCCATTATAGGTTTGTCCTTCATTTTCTTTTCCCGGGCGTGCATGGTGATGTAACACGGCAAATGTTTAGCCATATCGGCAGAAATGTCGTGTATGTAGTACTCTACCGGTGATGAATCCGACTGCTGAGTCGAGAGTACCATTCGATCAGACGCCATCTTGGTGAGATCGAAGGTCACGCCACTGAGAGGCTGCAAGGTCACGTGGACGTCTGAAACGAGGCTGGTCTCGCGGAGGAAGAACGGGATCATCATGTCCGTTTCAAATGTGTCCATGTCGTTGATCCAGTAGAACGCGTCGCTGCCTAACCTTTGACTTATTTCCAGGAGAAGGTCGGGTTTGTAGTCGCCGATGGTGAGTGTGGAGATGGGCAGACAGAAGTTGCTGCCTAATGTCTGCTGTATGGTGGAGTTAAAGGCAGAAACGATGCCGTCTGCATCCGTTATACCCTCGTTAGCCATGCCATCCGTGAACACGACCATCCCGTTTCGGTACTGTGTACTGTTTCAAAGACAAAACAAAAGAATTCCAACCTAAAAATCCGTGAAAATGGAAAATTAGGATGTGTGTACATGACTATTTCTTTGACCGCACGGTGAACGGCTATATTGTACCTAATACATATAACGTTACATGTACCTGAACTTGATTTTGATCAAGTGGTCATATATCCTGTCATGCCAGCGTGCAAAATCACAGAAATTTATCAGTAAAATATTCCAGAAGTCATATTTGTGGCATCAATATTCTGACAGGGGTCGGGCCGACCTAATATACTCACATGCACACTTTAGAAGCAAATGCTAGTTGTTGTATTTAGGAATGGTGCATTATACTTGTAGAAAAAGAGTTTAGAAATAAAAAAAATGCACTAACCCCTCGTCTGCAACACCAAAAAGCTTCACTCCGGTGAGGATGCCTTCGCTCAAGTTCGTCAACGTCTTTGCACTCAGTGATTGTATACTTTGCATGGCAGCTTTCTGCGAGAAAATGACGCTCATTATCTACAACCACATCAACGACAACTAGACCTGGTATCCATGAAATTACGGCGGGCTATTTCACAATAACGCACTGCCCCTCTAAAAAGTGATAAAAGGGATTAAAAAAAGTCCTGTACAATTCCTAGAACTCTTGCAGACTGCACACTGCACACAATACTGCACCATAAGCTCACCTCTGAGGCGTCGCCAAAATTGGCACACACGTATAGCTGTAGACATTCGTATATCTGTTCTCATACTTTAACATTCATCATGTAACTGTTTCTGTTATCAAGTCGTCTAAACAACAAACCTTTCCGTCATTGTCCATTTTTGTGATGGGCAGTAACACTCTGGTTTCGCTGTCAAATCCAACAATCCCCAACATGTCCTCTGCCTGCATTTTCCGCACCAGGACTTGGGCGAATATTTTTACCTTGTAGATCAAGGTTTCGTTCCCAATCCTAGAATAGTGTCAGAGATAGTCATGCATTTATGTGAGCATGGATTTTACCTTGGCAGGATTTGTTGCAATCCAGAATAATACAGAAGTCAATACAGAAGTTATTGAAATTACAGAAATTACATCTTTGAATAGATATATATATCACAACAATCGATGTTACTAAATATCAAATAGAGGGTTACTAAATATCACCTAAACATCTTCAGCAAAATTGCAGTAAAGCAATCTATGTCCACCATGCTTAAAGACTGGTCTTGCGTAGCTTGTACTTACTATACAAACATTGTGTGTTTCTTCTAAAGGCGGTTTGCCCGTTATTTTACACAAATGTAACAATGAAACAGTGCGCTGAAATGAATTCCCTGACCAGCAGGTACTGTCATTCCATGTCCTTTTTTTACCCGCTGGATGTTCTTCGGCAAAGGGAATATTTTTAATGAAAACAAAGAAGGACTTACTCTGACGCCATGCTGCCACTTTCATCGATGACAGCAACGAAGCGCAAAGGTATTCTCGTTTTGTTCGATGATGTAGTTTGTAGTTCCTCTGCGGTCAACTCGATAAGGGACTTAACTTGCAGCGGTGACTGTAAATATAAGTTTCACAGCATGACTTACATGTGGATTTTACTAATGTTTACGTTGTATTCTTTTCAAAGAATGGTACCTTCAAGGCCACAATACCCGCTCTACTATAGAGTTCCCTTTAAAAATGCAAGTGCTTGTATGTACAATTGTGACATTTACAACTATATACACGTGTCTACTACATCGATATACATGTACCTACAAACAGTCAATTAAATACAAATAATACCTACATATAAACAAGTGGGTACGAATATCAGAAAGGAACTTACGTACCCGTAATATATGCATAATTCAACATGTTGAGGCTAACTTACCCTATTACACTGCTGGCTATTAGATTTCAACAGTTTTGACGCTCTTGCCTATCTGTACACAGTAATTATAATATAATGTGTGTAAACAACGCTTAGTCTCACCTGGTCTTTCACGACTGTGCAGTAGCAGTTTAGGTGCAAAGGATCCTCCAAACCTCCGGCTGAACCCGTGACGGCCATGTTCTCAAGCTTTTACAAACCACCACAGAAAGTATCAAGTGTCTGGTAGTTAGTAAAGTAACATGAGAAAGTACATGGCCACCAAGTTCCACCTGTTAATAAGTTTTAGCCGAGTTCTTACAAACTTTGTGACATAGTTGCCCTTGGTGTATGTACACATGTAGCAGAGGGCACCCACAACAGACCGTCACATGCGGAGAGACGTACAGTACTGTTTACCAAAGCACGGGTATCGCGAAGGTAATAATGGTGTTCTCAAAGGCACCGCGGGGGCAAAATAAACATATATTATTACAAGTGATACAAATGGATCATGTAAGGGTACGATGTGACTGGATATCAAGTAGAACCATAACAGTGACCCATGCAAATCTACAGCTCTGGTGTCAAATAGTCTTTAAATAGAAATTTGAGTGCGTTGTTGGCAGTCAAATTTTAAATTTAGTCAATGACAAGTTAAGCTCAAATTTGATTCGATTCGTAACGAAAGGTAAGCGTGGCCTGAATCTGGTCAAACTACTTCCAACCTACTGTCAACCTTGGTTGGTTGGTGGTTGCGGGAAGGTTCTGAATTTGTGCGTGCCAGGGTCTTTATTATTGTTTGCACAAACCGGCCCTGCCCCGATCAAAATGGGAAATACATCTATATGTACTGCTGAATGCTTGAGTTTTGTATAAATCCATGTCAGCGACTGCCGTATCCATAGTAGTTCGGATATGAAGTAGTGCGGAACAGTACTTGAAAAAGCTGTAAATATTTTCCTGTGCACGACAGTGAGGTGTAAACTGTACTGAATGGTAGATAAATACGACAGGTTGTAGATTTCATGCATTACGATGTTTTTTTCAGTAAATTTGCACCTGGATTCTGATACCACAAAACTGCTGTGTGCTTGCTGCAGTTCACATACCCTTCGCTTGGCGACATACATGTATAATAGAGAACGAGAAAAAGGAAGCCAGCCTTTTAGTTCGTTTTCACTTATTTTATAGATCTTGTATCTTGAACTCAGCCGTATTCGACTTGTGCGTTTCTTATGTAGTCTACATCCCCACACACAATACAAATAATTAATGTACATGTACTATGAATACAGTGGGTGGTTCCACGAACAAGCACAATTTGACTACAAGTCTAATACATCTGCTTAACATTTGCATAGAATCTACTGCTTAAGCTTGAAAATGTTCCATATTTTGATTTCTACGAATGATTATAATTTTTGACAGGCACATTTGTAATATTTTTGTCTTGATTCCATAAAATCATTCAATACCAATTCCAGCCTTGATAATTAAAAACAGAGCGACTAGCAGCATCTTATAAATAACTAATCATAAACTGGATTACCAGATTCAGCTCAGTATCGCCTGTTTAGTTTGCCAATATCTCTTACTTCTACTTTTTATATTACAATAAGCTATTCACGATACACAGATTTACAAACTGAGCACTTCTCCATAGTACCCAAAAATGTAATTTTATCCATTATTGACGATGTTGATAATGTATATCAAGTACTATTTACTAACAAAAATGGGAAACCTATAGTATTTAGTACTCTTAACATCATTTCACTTGTATGAGATTGACAGTACAGTGTGCGTGATGTCGATGCCTTCGATCCCTTACTCGTAATCTTCCTGTAGGCCCAGCTTTTCCATAGCAAGAGCTCGAATCTTCTTCCTGTCGATCTGTTCAAAGAGATTGCATATCGTGTATAAACAACGATGTAATTTACTCCAATACACCCTGGTGTAGTTGGATAGGTGTCCGCTTTCCACCCATAGCCTTAAATCCCAAAAAAGTTGGGAATTTGTATTCAGACGTGCATGCTATTGGTTGGAATTCCATTCTATAATGATCTATAGAATCATCTCAAGAATCTCAAATAGGGGGCCAGGTGAGAACACACATATTTTGCAATTGTCGATAAAAGAAAGTTAACTGGTCCACCCGTGTGCGTAAGAAACATTGCAAGCCAATTTCGAAATTCTTCTATGGCATAGCAGTCATGGAATACGTGTTCGAAAGCTTACAAAAATCCCTACCTTTCGTCCAGTCGAAGTCTTGGGAAAACTGTGCATGGCTAAGAAGTACCCCGGAGTAAACTCCTCAAGCAGCTACAATAGAGAATATCAGAATTGGTCATTTTTGTCGGTAAGCGCATCCGAACAAAAACAGCCGTATTCAGTGAGAATAGTACGATCAAGGAGATGGCTTGTATAATAATCCAATCAGATGGATTGTATGATACTTGGTACATTATGTTATATATGTTGTTTTTGTAAAACAGACTTTTTTCTTAATTTGTAGTTATAGATTAATCGTGACAGTATTTACCCCGTTGGCTTCCGAGTATTCCCTCATCTCCTGCTGCTGTAAAGTATGGCCGTTCTTTAATCTGTCATCAAGAAATGGAAAATGTTCAGGCAAGGAGGCATTTTAGAACTATTTCTAACTATCGTGGAGGGGTTATTTCATGACAAAGAAAAATGTCATCCTTTACTAAGTTTTTGTCAACCGTTTACCGTCTTTGTCTACTTCTACCATGTTTCTACACAAGAAAAACAAATGTGCAGCTATGGAGCATGCAACCCGCAACGATGGAGAATAGTTTCTAAATTTGTTATATGTTGTTAAATTTGTGATACTAAAAAATGCTATACTATATGGATCAATAGATAAACAGGGGGTATTCTGAGTATATCTGAGAGGTAGTATATAGTAGAGGGGATTCATTCCTCAAGCTACCGACATCTTGCACACGCAGTCGTCCCTCAGTAAGACATCTGGAGCCGCATAGTTCCCGTTTAGAACTTTTATTCAGCCTGTCACACCTGTATATCTGAGAGGTACATACATGATGCAGGCACAGATCTCTTCCACATTGGCGGGGTCTGGTACACCAACCACCTGAGGAATAGGAAGAAAAATACAGAGTCGATTGTTTGAATTAAAAAAAAACTCCCACATTTGCTTCACTTCGTGGGGAATTAACCTATTGTTTTATAGAGCTGCGCCTCATTCGTAATGGTGAGCTGTGTTGAAAAAACAAAAGAATCAGAAATATCATGATAATTTTCTACCTTTACATCCGATACTTTGGGATGCGTCAGCAGAACTCTCTCCACCATGGCAGGATAAACTATCTCTGCGTTCTTCAAGATCACGTCCTGAAAGTGCATGTAAACATATCATCTTATACATCACAGGTAAACACAACACGTACCGAAACAGAAGCAATGAGTCCCTGTATTATATGCTTGGAGATCGGTAAAACATTTATTCAAAGAGAAATACAAAATTCAATTTGGTATGTAGTAGATTTGCACTTACTTTAATCCTTCCCACAATCTTCAGTAGCCCATTTTCGTCAAGGATTCCAATGTCACTGGAAGTTAGATAAAAATGGCATGATGTTGTCTATTGATTCACTTCAAGCTGTGCACATACATGTACGCGCACTGACAATTTCATTATGCTGCTATCAAGTCATTATTCATACATATGCCACTGGTAAGGCCCCCATAAACCACGACGACTGTTTTGAACCGGCGGTTCATACCGTCACCACGTGTGAGAGCTCCCAGGACGGCGATCAATGAGCGCAGAGAGAGCGCAGTGAGAGCGAACAACGGCCCCAGCATTAATGCAGAATCAAAACATGGCGACCTCAGCGCTTTCTCTGAGCTCTTTCCGCGCTCCGACCAGTTCCAGGTCGCAGAAAGAGCGCGGCGAGAGCGCCGTCAAGTGGAATGGGGGTTATAAAGGATAGACATGGCTTACCCAGTTTTGTACCAGCCGTCAGCTGTCTTCGCCTCCGCAGTTTTCTCATCGTCTCCTCGGTAACACGTGAACACAGAGTAGCCTCGTACCCAGACCTCTCCCTCGTGCTGCAGGGGGACGGTCTGACCGCGTCTGTCCACCAGCTTCATCTCCATGTGCGGCAGCAGACTGCCCACCGTGGACTGCCGCTGCTCGTCCGTCATGTCGGGGGAGGTCGTCGCCAAGTGGAGGGTCTCCGTTGTCCCGTACAGAGTCTTGGAGGAAGGCGGCCAAACGGTTAGTCAATTTTAGCATTTCAGTACTTTATTTCAAATAGCCCCTCTGTGTTGGTGCATTCCATAATGAAGTTTATGACAATGAAGTTTATCGCATATTCACACCGGCGCCCCACATGGACCAAAGTTATTTAATGCACTAATAAATTTAAGCACATTGCATTTACCACACTTAGTTGAGTTTACTCACCAGTATGTCTGCGTTAGGGAAGAATTCAGCAGCGTCCAGTCGAAGGCGTTTGGACACAACATTCCCTCCAACTGTGACTAGAGAGTATACGACGACATTTAGTGAGTTTCGTGTTAATTTGATGGGATTAACGTTGCATATTGACAAGCATGCTTCAACAACTTGTCTCTAAATCCGAGAGCACTTCATGTTCTGAAGTATTCGGTCCAGTCGCTCTATCAAAACCCATTAAGTTTATCGATCTTCAGTATTGGTTTTAGAGAATGCGATTTTGTGTATCGTGTTAGGCATTAAATGAAAGTTGTGCTGCTGTACCTTGTTCAAGGAATGTCAGGTCAAATTTCCTCAACTCTGGATCATGCACCAAGTCATGCAGCGTCTTCACGTACATAAAGGTGGTGGCTTCGCACCTGCAAATTGTCACAGTGATCAGTTCATAAATAAAGCATACGCGTACGTCAATGAGACAGACAACTGATAACAGTTCTGAATCATCTTCTCTGCCATTTAAATTCGCGACCTGCCCTAGCTAAACATGAGAAAAATTGAAACTAGAAAGGTAACATTTGCATATAGCAATGTATAATGTTTACCTTCGCATATGGTCTGCCCTAGATCTGTTAATTCTTACTCAAATGCATTCATATGTATGGTCAGACAGGGGTCTAAATCCCTCCTGCTATAAAATTGCAACATGATGTAACCCAACACCGGTTTCCATGGCGCCAGCCGTCTGGTTTGAGGTCATTGACCTTTTTGGTTTAGAGAAGAAGAGGAAGAATTAAGAGGAAACTGAGCAACAACAAATTAATATGTTATTCTTCGGTGAACATAAAGATGAAATAGATTGTCTGAAGCCCACTTTTGCCAGTTTAATTTTTGTTTGTTTGTTTGTTTCTTTGTTTGTGTGATTTTATGGTATGGCTGTTTTAACAAGATGACAATTACCTTTAATCTCTTAGCATATTTCTTCGAGGGTTGACTAAGTTTGGCCACTCACGGGCTTGCCAACTATATAATATTGCCTCTGAAAAAACCTGCTAGGAAATTACATCACCTTTCCTCTAACAGCGCGGACAGAACCTCGGACGCCGTCGGTGGAGTGTCGCTGGGGCACACCAGGGTACATCCTGTGGTGACCGAGAACAGGAAGGCCCACGGGAACTCAGTCAGGTCTATCGCGTGCAGCACCTTGTTCTGTGCGAGTAAAGTGATATATACATGTTATCGCCTGCTCATGATTCTTGGAACGGCATTATCGGAATTCCCTAATTGTCGTTTTTACTTTCGCATACGGAAATATTGTTTATGGTGCAGATGAGTTTACGCGCTTTTCTGTCTGTCTGTCCTAATTACTCTCGTGCTTATGTGGGTGGGAGGAGACATTTTGACAGTTGATAGATAAGGAGGTTACCTGAAGAAGACCCAGCATACGGCTTGCGAAGGTGGCGTAATACCCGATTTGATCACATACTACAATGCCCTCTACAGTTCCCAGAATACTTCCAGGATGTCTGTGAACTTGAAGGTCACGGAAACTCCAAATAACTTGCCAATGGTGTGAATACGCCAAAAATATTCTACTAAGCAACTGGATATGATTTTGGAAACGGTCAGACGTTTCAGGTAGTGTCCACTAACTTCCGTCAGTGACACTAGAGAACTTGTGCAGAAATGTAGGTTTATAACTATAATTGAGAATGGTGAGAATAATTCAAAAGTCTACCGTTACCCTGTTCTCCATTCCAATAGCCTTGGCGTGAAGGTCGCTGATGTTAATGAGTGTGTGGCTGCTATGTTCAACACACTTGGGAGCTCCGGTACTTCCCTGTATAATGTAATGAAAATCATGATTTAAGGCTATATGTTTGGAATATTTTTTTATATCATCATATAAATTATTTATGAGCATTCATTGGTTTTTCGCGAACACATTCCTGAAAAAAAAAGAAGATAATGCATTCGCAATTTTCTTTTGAATTATTTGAACAGTGTGTTTTCAGGCAAAGACATGTCCCCTGTTCGTGTGTACTGTACTTCATCATATTATCACCAAAAAATTTAAACATTTATTGCCAATACATTAGACAATAGACCGATCCTGATTGTCCATCACAATTAGCAGTTCAACCAATGAGGGGAATGCAATTATCAGTTCGACCAATGGCAGAGTGGCTGCACATCCATCAAATATTTGTTATGTTGCGTTTCTGCGTTTTGAAGGAGGTGGGCGGGGTTAAAGGATTGGGCCAAAAAAGAAAAGGCCTTCTAAAGCTGCTATTCGAATTTAGAGGGTTTTTACACACAAACATTGGGTGGATATTGCTAATTCTTACAGAAGTAAAAGTCAGGAAAACCGTGTCATGACAGCCGGTCTGGCTCTGGGCGTGCTCTATGTGCGCCCTGGTGGTGTCATCAAGGGAAATACTTTCTATGTCCTCCAGGTTGTAAAATACGTGTCTGAAAATGACAAAATACTTTAGATATAGATATAAAATACGATTACCAAAGCTGTGAGTAGTGAATAAGCCTCTGGTGTTTATACATATTAGATATAACGAAAGGACATGACGAATATGAATCACTAAAACGTTTATACATTTCAGACATAAACCGACAAGCCTTACTATTTGCACCTTGACATGTTCGCGTTACAAGTCAATGCCATACTTACTCGTGCGTCCTGTCGCCGATGAGGACAATAGATGACAAGCTTGGCACCCTGTCAAAATTATGTACATGAATCAAAATGTCTGTAGCAATTTGTAGCAATGTATTTTTTTCCAGAATATTCAGATACTGTTGGGAGTTTTCACTGAATGCAATGCGGATTTTAACATTAATGAAAAGTTGTAATTCACACATGTACAGACGTACATAAAGATATTTATGGCTTCACCACACCACGAAGTATAGTCTGGGTGTACAGTGTGGGTGCATGATGTAATAAGATTGGAATGCAATGGTGTGACCATATTTGGGCATGAAGCCCTTCCAAATATGGTCATGCAGGCAGCAACAGGCGTGGCCATGTTTGCAGATGTTGTTGGTTGGCTGTTCGCTTAATTACGTTATCTGCTACAATTATTTTGTTTGCTTACAAGTTTGGCCAGGAAAACGGAGTGTTCTAAATCGGTGGAAACATGTCACATTGTACCTCGCTTTTTTTAACCAAAAGGTTTTAACCAAAAGTTAAAACCTTTTAACCAGATATACATTCTCCGTTCCCTGCCATGTCGTAAAATGTGGTGAAGCCATGCTGAATTTGCTAAAAAAGCAAATGTCGGCCTTTCTAGTTTGCAATCCCCATTTCAAAATCAACGATATCCCCATGGAAATAAGTATAAACTAAAGTCATACTAACTTATCAAATATATTCGTTGGTAATGAAATACGTACTTGTCAATGGCCAGGTTCCTCGATTTGGATGACATTGTCTCCGGAAACATCTTATGAAGGAATGGTATAGTTCCTTGAAAGTGTTCAGACGTGGGCTGATTTTCGATGAGGAGCACTTTCAACTTAGCCTGCATTTGAAGAAGAGAATACATTTATGACTTTTGAACTATTGGTATGCTTTGGTGTATAGCATTGTTTTCCTTTTAGTGGAACCAAATGTTAATCACTAGCTACATGACTATGAGATACCAATTTTTTTTCCTGTCGACATTTGGACCAATGCATGTATATTTCTTTTTTGGCAGAAGCACTTGAAAGACGTTTATTTATCTAGTCGGCATTAATTGATGATAACAGTTTAAATAGCAATGTCAACAAAATAAAGCTTAATGGTACCTTTTCCAGGGATTGTTCTGTTATTTCCTTGTTATTAGACCATAGAAAGTACTCCGGACTGAGAGGCATCTGCGTATTAAACAGAGAGAGAGAGAAGAGTGACTAGATCTCATCAATGTATCCTGCAGCTACATAATTTATGAAATCATTACAATGAAACCATATTACTCGTTCTTCCTAGAACTATCGTAGAGTACAAGTACAGTAGGTGGATTACAATTACATGTAGTTGTACAAAGGCTAGGTGTAACATGTCGTTCGGTATAATATAGCCAGCTGTTGTCATGCCGCGTGCCTGTGAAGTTGGTGTGCTACACCGAAAGACGGTTATACCAGCTACAGAGGCATCTTTTATCTTTTCTAAGCGCTACATTCAGAATGCAGACATTCAGTTTATCTTTTCTAAGCGCTACATTTCAGTCCCCTCATGTCAGCAATACAGATGTAGTTACCAGAAATATCATACGTTTCCATACGGTTCCAAAGCCATTTTTCGTAAGTCGTAAACCCAGCATGTCAAGAAACGTACGTGCGTATTCCCTCCAAAAAAGCTCCCTAGGCCTAGGCCCATAAAGCCTGCTTAGAAAGCAAGGTGTCCTATGTAAAAAAAAAATGCTCGGATGAAGGAAACTTACAGCCACGGCGCCTATCTTCGACACGGCGAAGCACAGCACGACCCACTCCGGCCTGGTGCTCATGACCCAGGCCACCACGTCACCACGGCGGACTCCGATAGACATCAGTCCGGCCGCCAGACGGTCTGCCTGGATAGAGAGAGTGTCGACTATTAGTAACTAGACATTAACTTTGGAGCAAGTTAAGCCCTGCCTTCTAATGCTGGAGCAGGAAAGCTTGACACACCTATCAAAACACTTGAATGCAGTGAATATGGCATGGCTTTGTACAGGTGTTAACTGAGTTAAACCAATCAAATGCCAACAGCCAATCAGCAAGAAGAATAGAGGAAAGCTTCATGCCTATTGGTTGCTTGCTCTGCATGCCATTCTGATGACTCATGCCCAAATATGATGCTATAGTACATTTTCTATAACACAGCCAAAAAGCTCAAATAAAACCATTCTAAAATCCTGTATCACTATGATTTGAAAGATACCGAAATCGCAAAACATAAGATAGCGTTCTTAAAAATATGTTTATATATATACACGTATTGAAGAAAAAGTGATCTGTACAAAAATGTAGACATCAGCGATCACAGCCTCTAGTGAATGGAGACTTGAACGAAAATGTTTGCTTTCAAGGTACCTTTTCTTTAAGTTGAGGGAACGTCATCCTCACGCCCTGCTTGCGGAAGACGTACGCCTCCTTCCCGGGCCATCTGGCGGCGGTGTCGTCCAGCAGCTGTCCCAGCGTCACGTCCACCAGGGGCTCATCACACAAGGTCTTCAGGTAACTCATGGCGGGGGAGCAGACTGGTGAGCTCACCTCAGGAACTTTTTACAGAACGTTGCGGCTAACGTCGATGAAGATGAGACATCCAGAAAATGAGATACACAAGGAAATTGTTACTCAAGCAACTTAGTAGGTTTTGAAAACTCATGGCGGGATAGGGCACTGTCCAGGTCACCTCAAGAACTTTTCACACAAAAAAACGACTTATGTCCATTTGAAGGTTAGACATCTAGATAAGAATGAATAAGGACATGTTGAAGATTTGATTATATGGATGGCATCCTCTGAGAACTCCAAAACTGATGCGAGCGTACGAATAAAAAAGTTTGACAAAAAAGGTTGCCTTTTTATTATGAAAGCTGGTCATGGCAAGGTAACAGACTGGCGAAGACGAACATATAGGAAAATAGAAAGTCGGATTGTTATATTATAGCCTCTTCCAGTCTTCGGGAAGCGGCTGGAAAGAGTAAAAATTGGCCAAATAAACAGATGATATGCCAGGGGAGCGGCAAACTGGACCAAATTCCCTGGTATATTATCTGTCTATTTGGCCGATTTCTACTCTTTCCGACCGCTTCTCGAAGCCTGCTAGAGTCTATCATTGTGATACATATATTGAAGGGGAAATAGAAATAGAGAAGAAACAATTATCAGTTGTCGGAAGATTATTTACCTGTGTCCCGATGTTCTGTGTTCATAGTTATGTGCTACTGTTTGCCTCTCATCCAGTGGTATTTGCCCAACGCAAAGGTTACCTTGCCAAGAAGGTTATGTTTAGAGCTCGTATGTGTGTCATCACAATAACTGTTAACTCTAGAAGGCTTACATGCATCAGCAGATATCAATCATGTAAATGAAGACCTAATTTGCATGATTAATTGGAAAAAAAAGCACTAAGTCCATTCCTTGTGAAGATGAAAAATAATATGTTCAGCGATTTTCATTATCTATCATATTAATCATGTAAATAAAGACCTAATGTGCATTATTAATTAGAAAAGAGCAATAAGTCCATTCTTTGTGAAGATGAAAAATAAGGGGTTCAGCGATTTTCAATGAATCGTCCTTCGTAAAACGTGACTTGGCCGCAAAGGCCTAGTTAATGTACCTTTGGCCCTCCGTCAACACCCTTAATAACTATAACAGCCGTTTAAACCCGAACATAAATACATGGTTGGAGCTGCGTTATAAGTGGTTGGGAGAAAACATATGATCTTATACGGGTAGATATAGCTCACGAGAACTTCCAAAGTGTGTATTTTGAAATCGTAACTTTAGTTCGTTGATCTAGTATCTCTCAGCGACCACTGTATAAGTAAAGTACTAGTGCACGTGAAGCGATGTGTTGTGGTCATAACTTATTTAGGTCAGGTTACTCAGGTATATTTGCTTTCGGGCAAAGTCCTCGACCTGACTTGTCTCGTGACTCGTGACGTGATCTTGTTCTCTCCACGTGACTTCAAACCCTCGCCCTAATTATTCAAAACCGTTGTGCTGCGGAGCCCATATATATATATGTTATATGGGTTGCGCATACAGTACCATCGTTACTAGTACATGTGTATATAGCACCCTGTATATGTACTATTTGGAGGTATTTCTCGTGCAATGCATCACACCGCAGCGAAACGAAACAAAAGTGACTACGCCACCGCAGGACAAAAAAGTCAAGGGTCTATGACGTGATTAAGACATCAAATTATTTCAAATTAAGTTCCCGGTATATTGTAGTTTCCTTTCTTGGATACTCCACAACTTGTAGTTTTACCTAAGCACAACTGAACGGTAGACCTACCTCAGTGGTGGTTTGTATAGCAGATATGCAGCTTTGTAAGAGATGTGTGCCGGAGGGAACGTTGTTGCCCCTCGGTTGGAGCAGGTTGTTTGTGCCGTTCTATCAGCTGGTCTGTTTGACCTTCAGTCACCTTCAATTCAGCCGGGTCACGCGGTGGGAGGGGCTGTCATGGGATCAGTAAGATAGAGGACCTGCGTACCTGGTACGGAGGTACAGTCGAACGTCAGGTAGCCCAAAATTCACAATGACGCTTAACGTTACAGCTTCTGGCGTCCGTAACATAGTTTTGCCAGACACCCCCGTGAACCCATTGAAGTCGCTTCGAACAGCCGTACAAACAGAGGAACAATTGAATTTAACGTTGTGTTCCTGTAGTCGCCTGTATTGTTGGTTAAGGATGCCCGTTGTCAGGATCCTCTCATGCAGACCCTCGAAGACGTCAGGGCAATCTTTCGGGAGTGGTCACTGGGGATTTGACGCTGACACAGTATATTATAATTATGTTTACCGAAGGAAAACATATTGTTTTTTCTCAGTTTCTTCTTCTTCCGCTCCAAACATGTACACCTAAGAAACGTATATATTTTCATGCAGGTAGGTTGGTACATAAGACACTTAACCTTGGTCATTTGGGCCAACTTTGATTAAAAAAAATATATTTTATTGGCCAAAAATGGGTGAAAAAGTAGCAGTTTAAGCCAAACGTCGAACTTTAGAACCCGTTTCGAAATTTAGAACAACGTCCGAAATCGGAATCGAGTTCGACGACCGCGGGTCAATAACCGCGCGGCCGCGCCAGGGGTGGGGGGGTGGGCGGGTGTTCGAATTTTCGAACTGTGTCGTTCTGTCAGCTGGTGCGTTTGACCTTCAGTCACGCGGTGGAAGGGACTGTCATGGGATCAGTAAGATAGAGGACCTGTGCGCGTATAGTCAAGGAGGTACAGTCGAACGCCAGGTGGCTCAAAACCCTACATAAAGAGCAACAATTGAATTTTCCGCTATCTTCCTGTCTTTTCGATTAAACATTGCCAGGATCCCCCCCATGCAGGCCCTCCAATACGGCAAGGCCATCGTACGGGACTGGTACCGGCTGACACAGTATATTATTCACTTCTGTCTGCCCGAATGTAGGACAGGTATCCCAACGTGCAACAAACTCACCTGTAGGGCACCGTGTAGGACGGTGCCACTCAATGATTACCGGTACTGAGCGAAGGCGTGTGTGCCTTTCGTTCCTACGCAACAGCGGCTCAAAGTTTTAGCTGTGTACCTTTGATGGGCAAAGTTTGGAGCAGGCCTACGACGTAATTGCTATGAATAAAATACGTCATTATCTACAATACATTACGTAACGCTCTAGCTAGATTTTATTGAAACTATGTACATAGCACCAGCACCCACAATGCAACGCGTGAAAGGGAACAACCTCTCGCCTCCGTGCATGGGAACCAACATACACTTTATTTATGGCTCCATACAAATCACTGATCACCTAGTGACAGTATAATCTGGATTTAATTAAGATTACGGAACGGGTTGACATTGCCTGGATTTTGTCTTCGGTATTTTTGTTTTGACCACAGAACTTCCGTCTTTTGGAGTCCAAGGGCTTGTCTTGAAATTTAGCCATTGGGGAGGATTACTGTTAGCACGAAATTTTCAGCTGATGTACGTAAGACAGCGACATACACGCACACAAACCAGCCAAAATTCCCCACAGCTAACATTTCTTCCGGTATTTCCTATCTTCTAAATGTGTTGACTTGCTTTTGCAATCGTCTCCGAGAGCCGGGCGTACCAAGGTCGACATATTTCATCCTCAGGGATGTCGTGCGAGCAACCGAGAAAGTCGAGAAAAGGTCGAGGTCGGAAAATTTCTCTTTGTTTATGTCTGTCCCTCCTTCGCCTTTCCAGAGCGCTTGCTGGACGCAATCCTAGAAGAACTGGCACTGAAAAATGTTGCTGTATTCACTACTGTATAGTCTCTACATAATTTAGGCCATGTTGATTTGATTATATGGGTGACATCCGCGCGCGCATGAATACTGTAAATCGTACAAAACAGTTGCTAAATGAGCAAAAGCATACCGTAAGGTGCAAAAAAATGTCGTAGTGATACAAATGTCGTAGAATGCCAAAATCAAACGAAAAAAGACGAAAATGTAAAAAAATGAATTTGAAGAGTAAATTATTCTCCATGCCATATTCTGTGCCATTTGTTCATGACCACGTAGATTTCATAATGAAAGAAACTTTTTTTGCAAAACTTTTTTTTATTCGCACGCGCGCATCAGTTTTGGGGTTCCCAGAGGATGTCATCCATATAATCAAATCAACATGGCCTTATGGCCACATGCCACGATGGGGCTTTCAGACCCGTCGGTCGAACTATATTTTCTTTCTGTGTGGATCACATTTTAAGGCATAAGCCTAAACTCTAAGTGTATAATCTTAGTCACATTCCAAGGCATAAGCCTATAATCTAAGTTTAGAACCTCTGTGACATTTTAAGACATAAGCCTATACTCTGCGTCCTTCACATTTCTAGGGACAAGCCTTTAGTCTTAGTCTAAAATATAGGTCACACTTAAAGGTATACAGTGTTGTAAGCCTATACTCTATGACCTAAGTCACATTTCGAGGCATAAGCCTACACTCTAAGTCTAAAATCTTTGTCACATTTAAAGGCATAAGCCAATAATCTTAGTCAATAACCTCACAGTCACATTTCAGGGCATTAACCTAAAGTCTAAGTCTATAATCCCAGTCATATTTTAAGACATAAGTCTGTAATCTAAATAACCTCAGTTATGCTTTAGGGCATAAGCCAATAGTCCAAGTCTATAACCTCAGTCACAGTATAAGGCATAAGTGCCTATAATCTAACTTACTAAGCTGATAGTCTATAACTTAAGTCACATTTGAAGCAATAGATTATAATCTAAGTCTACAATCTAAGACGTCACATTCAGAGGCATAATCGTATAATCCAAGTCTATAATCAAAGTTTTTCACTATGTCCTGGCATGTTGAACCTACCACGCAGCTTCAAAGCCAGTCTTTTTTATCGCAGTAGTTATAGCTCTATTTCAGCAAAAAGACAATGTCATCTAGTTAAGGTTTCACAATAGACCAACGCCGACTTTGGTGAACGTCCTCAATGCCACGATTATAACTGCTCCTAGCAACTTTAATGAATGAATGAATGTGTGCAAAACAAACAATAAACAGTAAACAAAACAAAAC